TAGGCATGGCCTTATTTCTGGGTTATTACCACAAGTGGTAGAGGGGGGTATTATCAACTTGAAATATGCTGATGATACACTGCTTTTCTTAGAAAATAATCTAGAAAAAGCTTGCAATTTGAAATGGCTTCTAGTTTGCTTTGAGCAAATGTCAGGCATGAAAATTAATTATGATAAGAGTGATTTGTTGACGGTGGGTTTAGAAGAGGTTCATGCTAATGAGTTTGCTAGACTGTTCTGTTGCAAAAAAGGTGATTTTCCTATTGAGTACCTGGGGGTTCCCCTTCATTATACTAAGCTGACAAGGAAAGACCTGCAACCTATGGTGGACAAAATTATCAAAAGGATAGTAGGATGGAGGGGTAGGCTTCTGTCTTATGCTGGGAGGCTTGTTTTACTAAAAGCTTGCCTGGCTAGTATTCCAATTTATTTGTTGTCCATTATAAAATTCCCTAAGTGGGCTATCAAAATGATTAACTCTCAGATGGGGCATTTCCTGTGGAACAACACTAAAGACACACATAAATATCACTTAGCCAGCTGGCAGTTAGTGGCTCAAAAAAAGGAAGAAGGAGGACTAGGTATCCCGGATTTGAGGAGCCTAAACTTAGCTTTGTTAGCTTCTTGGATCTTTAGATACCATCTGCATAAGAATGCTATTTGGGTTAAAATTGTGGACTTTAAGTATAATACCAATGATCCTAACATCTTTTGCTGCCCAGATCTTGGATCATCCCCTTTTTGGAAAGGGGTCCTCTGGGCAGCTCAAGCTGCCCATATGGGCGTCAGATGGGTAGTAGGGAATGGGAAGAAGGTAAGGTTTTGGGAAGATCAATGGGTAGGAAATACAAGTTTGGCCATTATGTTCTGGCCGTTGTATGTCATTAATGAATAGCATGGTAAGGCTATAAGCCAGGTTTGGGATGGGCAGGAGCTTATGCTCACTTTTAGAAGAAATGTATCTGAGGCTCTTATGAGCATGTGGTGGGAGCTCTGTGGTGTAATAGAGGGAATCATCCTCAACGATGATGAGGATCAGATTTTGTGGAGTTATACCTCTCATGGCACTTATGCAGTCCAATCTCTTTATGCTAGGATTAATTGTAGAGGTGTGTTTCCGGTTTATACTCATGCCATATGGAAGCTTGTGATTCCACCTAGAGTACAGTTCTTTCTGTGGTTGCTCTCGCATAATAGAATTCTTACGAGGGATAATTTATAAAAAAGAAGGGATGTTTCGGATCCCACTTGCCTTTTTTGCAGTGAACATGAATCCATTCTGCATTTATTTTTTGAATGCTGTGTAGCTGTGAATGTTTGGAAGTTGGTTGCTGAGGTGATAGGTGTGGATATTGGGTCTGACTATGAGTCTGTAGCTAAGTTGTGGATTGCGAATAAGAAACATTTGGTTACTAATGTGTTTTCGTCTGCTATTTTGTGGTCCTTATGGAAGTAAAGAAATGAAATTTGCTTTCAGGGGGGGTTTGGCTAGGTATAAGGATGGTGCTGATTAGGATCACAAAGATGCTAAGGGGCTGGTTTTCAATGTTCAAGCAGGAGGTTCGTGTGTTGCTGGAGAGCAGAATCGTCAGGATGGAAGAATTGTCAAGGCGCCCGACACAAATCGAGTGGAAGGAGGAGATGACAACAGCTACATCATCACATTTGGTTCCATCGGAGTCTCGGTCTTCAACAAATGCCATGAGTGATTTAGCTTTTGCTGGGGTTCTGTAATAAGCTGATGAGTTTTCTGTGTGATTCAGTGTGTTGCGCTTATGCGCCTGAACTCTGTCTGAACTTGAACTGTTGGTTGCTTTTTGAAATATAAAAGCAGGGGAGACCTTTTTGTCTAAAAATAGACATGCTCTAATGAACTCCCATGCAAGTATTGCAGCCGTGGATTGATGGGATCAAGATTGATCCATCTTATATGTGTGTGTATATATATATATAGTTTGGTTAATATTTCATTTCCACTTGTACCAGTGATGCAAATTAATAGATCATGTGTCACTTTAACTTTATTATTGGTGCCAACATTGTTTCGAAAACCCTTCTTATGGGAGCAATAGATTGAATTAACATAGTTTTGTCACCCCTAGCAAGTACCAACGCACGGGCCTTAGCTAGTTAATGCATATTCCACAACGATTACCACTGTGGTATGCGGTGTGCCTTGAGATAACAGTCTTTTAAAACAAAATCGTGATTATATCTTTTTTTTATCTACATAAATCGCACACGAGTACAGGACTGTATTCCAAGGCTGGATCTGAAAGAAGCCCAATGCCAATGGAAAGGACTACAGGACACAAAACAGAGATTTTCCATCTTACCTGAACAATTTGCTGCTTCAGCGATTGGAAGGCCCTCCTAATTGACTCCATGATTTCGTTGATCTTGCTCGGTCGCTCGGTGCTTTTCACTTCCTGTTTGAATTAAACCCATGTAACCATGTAAGATTTCGAAACCTTTTTCTTTTAGTGAAAGGAAGTTTTATTCCTATTTCTTTATAGGTTATGCACTCAATCAAAGTTTAATACACAACAAATCACTCGCATATAAAAACAAACAAAACAATTAACAATAATCTATGCTGTAAGCAATTTCTTATTGTTTTGATTTGATGAACAACTTGAGCAAGGCTTGCTCAGCTCTCCTCTCCTGACAAACGAACCAAACAGCACGAGGATGCGGCACAACGCACCTCTGCAGCCGGAAGATCTTTGTGGCGCGTGCGATCGTAGAGATCCCTCATACGCTCCAGCGTGCCCTTCATTACCCTCCCTCCGCCCCCTGCCGATCGGCCACGCCACCGGCCCTTAACTCCCGGCGCTGCGGGCAGCGAGCAACGAGCAGCCTCGGCTCCTCTTTGGCGAGAGACAGAGTCCAGCGAGGAAAAGGAAACCAAGACGAGGGGAATTGGATCAGGTGGGGTGGGGTTCGCTCAGCTCTGGCGTGGCGAGGAAGCAGCAGCACCGCGGAGGTGCAGAGGAGGGGCGAGGCGAGGAGAGCATACGAAAGCGCGTTGGGAGGGATATAGGAGGCGCTGGGAACGATGGAAACGAAAGCGCGCGACCCTCTTCTCGCTGACTCCTGGGGCCCACTCGTTTTCGGTGTGGTGGATTTCTGGGCGGGATATAGGAGGCGCTGAGAGTGGAGGGACTTTGGCATTTCACCCATCATGAGAAACGGGTTTCGCAGTTTTACCATTCCTCAGAGTGGTTTCGCAGTTTTGCCATTATGAAATGCATGCAACCTGCTGAAATACATTTGTGGTAGTTTTAGTTCGTGAAAAAAAAAGAACACGCCTTCTTCCATTCCTACCCCTGGCCGCTGTAACTTTGATCAGAACGGATCGAACGCAAAATGGATTGGCCCTCTCCTCCATCCCCAGCGCTGGCCTTCCCCATGCCGCTCCCTCCCCGTGCCGGCGCCGACGCTGGCCTTCCCCACGCCGCCCCCTCCCCTGCCGGCACCGCCCTGCCACCACGCCGCTCCAGGTGCCTCGTCCCGCCTCCGCTCGGCCATCCAGGTGCCGCCTCCCGCCTCCTCCCGGCCATCCAAGCGTTGCCGCCTCCCCAGGCCATCCAAGCGTCGCCTCCGCCCCAGGCAAGCCTCAGCTCGGCCCTAAGCCGTGGGCCAGGCCTGCGCCCAGGTTGCCGCGCCAGGCCGGCGCGTCCCCAGCCGACGCGTCCCCTAAGCTGGTGCCGCCCCCATGGATTGCAGTTGGAGTGATCTAATTCCTCGGTATGCACTCTCTCTCTTGTATTTGTAGTCCACGAACATAGTTCGAAACGCTGATAGAGTTGTTCGAATAGAAATTTAACTACATTTCTTGCATTCGCTTTATCCTGGCTCGATGTGGAGCCTGAGCTTAGATTAGATTCTGTAGCAGACACTAGTGTTGTTGGTCACAATGCAAAGGCTGTAGATCATGGATGTGGTGATGTTAGTGGCAATGCATTGGCTATAGAATATTATGGAGGTGTTGATTGGGACAACCTGCATATTGCTGACACAAATGATGATGAGGGTGAGGGCAGGCAAAAAATAATTGATGAGGATCAATTATTTCGTCTGTTGGGTTTGAGAACCGTGGATGATGAACATCGATCTCAAGAGCAGCTGGCTTCTACAGAGATGGAAAACGGGTCTGAAAATAGGAATGCCACTGTTGAGGAGGAGATTGACACAGCTGGGGCTGCCATTCCTGTTGACGATCATGTGCCAGGGGAGAGAATCTTAGTCTATGACCCAAACAACCCTTGTATGGACATTGGCAGTGTGTACCCTAGCATGAAAGAATTCAGATTGGCTATGAGGCAGTTTGCAATAAATGAGGAGCTCGAACTGCACATAGTGAAATCTGAGCCACAACGGTACATTGGGGACTGCAATGCAGAAGGTTGTCCGTGGCATATTGTTGGAAGGAGGCAACCTGATGGGACAACCATTAAGGTGTTAATTAAATTATTAAAGTTTGGCAAAATTCCGTTCTCAATAGGAGTAGAGCTTATCTGCTTATGCCTAAAATAAGGTCTGCAGCTCTGTCGTTAAAGTTTCATTTTCGCCTTCTTTTCCATAAGTGCATCTACTTTCTTTTGAAACATTTGCACGATACAGCATATAGCAATATATGACACGGGTACTTTCAATGTTAATATATAGTACGATTACAGCTGCATTCGTGATGTTCTCCTCCTTAAGTTTCCATCCCTTCCATTGATCTCTGATTGCCATGAGGTTTAACCATAGTATATCACGTCCAATAACTATTCAAGGTTAGGTTACAGCACTCACAATTCGGCTGACAAAAATGAAAGGAGAATTCAGAAAAAATCCATGTTATTTGTATTCTCACGATCAACACACCGCTGTGTTTATTTGAACCAATAAATTAAAAGAAAAAAATTGCACAAACTTGAGCATGCATCGGACAGCATACTCAGATACATACAAGTAAACTAAAAGAAAAACAGAATGCCAAGGAGGATCTACTACGTGACAACCTGTGGCTTGCTTCCCGAGTGCCCAACAAGTGGGATGCAGGCAGCGATAAACGTGAGCACGACGAGGACCATGACGACAATGGCTAGACACTTGGTGTGGGGTCGAGTCACAGCTCCCACCGTCACCACCATGGACAGATAGAGCCCGAGAGCTATCGCACAGAAGAAGAAGAAACCAACCGCATTGACAGGCCCTACCATTAAGCGTCCGGCGATCACCGTGAAGAGGCCGCCAAAACTGGCGATGCCCTGCGACAGGTCCAGCAGATGGCCCAGGTGTGGACTCTCCTCATCGTCTCCGATCATGTCTTGTGTGAAGAATGGCAACACGTGCCTATCGGCCGCATGCTGCAGCTTTGGCTGGAGGAGGGCGACGACGACAGCCAGGAGTAGCGCGGCGAGGATGGCGAAGGCGTAGTGTTTGTTTAACGAGAGAATCAGAAGGCAGGTCGCCAGCTCTAGGAGGAGCCATGAGATGCAGACCAAGGCGTTGCCCCATTTTGATAGCAGCAGGATGAGCGCTGCATCCACGATGATAACAACCAGGAACAGTGTGTCTTCGACGCAGAATGTTGTTGATGTAGAATAGTGATGGGTCAAGAACGCGTAGAACATGGCCATGGCGAACCAGAGGGCCTTCAGAGAATAACTGGACAACAATTTTATTTGATGTTTGAGCTGACCATCTGTGTATCATCGTTGCCATACACGACCTGCATTAAATTTAAAGATAATAAATTTTAGTTTTAGATATGCCAAAAGTAATAATAATGCAGTATGTTGTTTAAAAAACAATCATGTAATATGTGTGATTTGATATTACATGAAAATCAATATGCACCGCGTCAATGCTTTTTAATCCATAGTTTCAGTTTCAGCTTAGAAACATTAGTAGTCATTGCCATAGTTAGAGCAACTCCAAGAGACTCTCTGTATCCTTACTAATGGTTAAGAATAGAATTTTTGATAGAAAAATATTCTCCAATAACTTTTTTAATTGGTTATCTAAATATAGATATTCTCTATTCCAAATTTCTCGCTAGCCATGTATGTCTGAAATCGAAACCATGATGCACACAAGATATTTCTTACATGTGTTAGCTAAAAAATACATAGGATTGTAGGAAATACCTAGAATAGTGTGGATTTTGAAACCTGTAGCAACGCACGGGCACGGACCTAGTAAATATACAAAATACATGGGCGTTTCTTTTTTTTAAGGAGATTTTTTATCTGTTCCAAGGGCCAAGGCTGGATCTCCAAGCCGTTTCGACAGAAGCCAGAGCCCAATGGACGTGGGTGTGCTAATATAGCGTTTTATCGGATAGTACTAGCAAACTCAAAATGGAGCTGTGAGGATCCAAAGCCTGGGTCAGCATCCTGCGAGGTTTAGGCAACAGCTGGTTTCGTTTACAAAAAGTCCTCCATTTTGAGTTAGCAGCTTCACAGGCTTGTGATAACGCGGGATGGCGGAATGCAGCGTTTCCACGCGAACCCTCTTCTCGCTGACTCCTGGGGCCCACTCGTTTCCCCGAGTGGGCAGTCTGGTTGGCTCTTCGGCTGTGTCCTTTAGCTGTGGACTTTTCAAACTTTAGTAGATCCTAATGCTTATTAATGACATGATTGACCGCTGAAATAGAATGAACTCCCATGAAAGTATTGCAGCGGTGGATTGACGGGATCAAGATTGATCCATCTTATATGTAAACGGAAGCGCGCGACCCTCTTCTCACTGACTCCTGGGGCCCACTCCTTTTCCCGACTGGGCTGTGGGGGTGGGGCGCGTATCCACAGGTCAGTCTTTGTGTTAGCAGCGTTCCCGCCCAGGCTGCTGCCTCGTCATCAGAGGATGGTCCAGCTACAAGCAAGCCCAGTGAGCGGCCCAAGGCGCAGAGGCCCAAGAAGGCGAACCCCAAGTACTACGGTGGAGAATGCGCCGGCTGAGGATGCTTGCGTGCGTGACAAGAGGCTCTGCTTGTGTAATCGTTAAAAGAGTCGTGCGAGAGGAGAGAGGCAACTTTTGTCAAACCGAATTATGTTTCCCTAAAATAAGAGAACTCCTCCGTCGTTCGTTCCACTGTTCCTCTTCTTCCTCCGGCTTACTCTGCTCCGATTCCTCCCAATTCTCTCCAATCCCCACTGCTATCTCTCACACTTTGGTTCTCCAGCTGTGTGCTTTACCCGGGTTATTGTGTACTTATTTAAAGGCTGGCCATTTTCTTATTGTTTTGATTTGATGAGCAACTTGAGGCAAGGCTTCCTCAGCTCTCCTCTCCTGACACAAGAACCAAACATGCCTTCAAACTGTGAGCTAAATTGTGATTAAGAAAATCTTATTTATTGCATACTTGTGACTTGCTCACTTAATACCATGTAGAAGGAAATATTGAGGAGAGCAAGAACAAAGGAATATGACTTAACATGTCTGTAGTAGTTGTTGTTGCTCTTCTAGTCTGGAATAACTTTTAAATTTCTAACTTAGATACGCTTTGCTGCTAGAGATATTGCTCACTGGATTTTAATGATTCTAAAGTAAAATATGAGAATTGTCTTTGTTTTTTCTTTTTTTTTTCTCGAAGGGAAGGGGGACTTATATTTGTTGCAGAGGTTCCTGAGCAACCGGCGACCACCGACTGAAGCAAGCATGAAGCGACCAGCTATAGTGTCGACGTGTGGTCATTGACCTAGCCTTCCTGTTTATGTACTACTTGGAACTTGCTATATGTATTAAGTCTGTTACCCAGTTTGATTAGGCAAAAAATATCCTCACAACCTGCTAGATAGGGATTGGAGCTATTCCAGAACACATCTCAAGTCGGTGATTATAAGTTATAACCATGACTTTTTAACCTGTAAAGCCAACACCCTGACAATGCATCGCTCCAGGCACTCACATTCCAGAAAACAGTTCAGCTGACAGAAATGAATGGAGAATTCAGGCAAAATTCCTGTGGTTTGTATTCTCAATTATACTGCTGTACGTGGACCAATAAACTCACATTACATAAAAACAAATGAAAAAATAGGAGCACCACGCAGGATACTCAGCTACATCATATCAAAGCAAAAATAAAGAACTTTTATTTAGATTACCAGGGATAATAAGCAAATAAAGATCCCTAGACTGGTTCATCCAACGGGCGAGAGAGGCGTCCGTTCTAGTATTGGAGTGGCTTTCTTCTCAGAGCATGTCGAGTGTCTTTCTGTGATTGCCTGATTGGAGTACTTTACAATCTGTGGATTACTTTACAGAAGTTGGATCCGTTGTGTGATGCATCCCAAATCATCCCAATGGCGTCTACGGAATGCCAAGCCAGATATGCGCTGCAGGACAGCAGGAGCGAGAAAGGGAAAATTAGGAAGAACATGGGGCTGGCTGGGCTAGTAGTCTAATACCAACCTGTACGTGCCTTCATTCTCCAATTGAGCTGCACTGCCGGGACGCTCACAACTGGAAGCGCGCTCTGACAACACACTGCAGGACGTCGGTGGCGCGCTTCGGCAGCACCCCGAAGTCCCGAACCGCGCGGTCTTGTTCCTGTCGTACACCCCGGGGGAGCCAGCCGCCCAGCACCATCTCCTGGAGCTTGAACACGATCCGCTGGTCCGGGATGATGGCGTGGTTCTCGGTGACGGGGATCTCGACGTCGGGGGACTTGCAGCCGTCGGCGGTGATGTAGAAGTACTTGAGGAACGTCTTGGACACGACATTGTAGCTGAGCGCGAAGAGCTCTCCGGTGGCCGGGTCCAGCTTGGGGTGCGCAATCATGGCGGTGTCGAGCTGCCCGCCGAAGTCGTAGCGCCCGACGGTCTCGAGGTCGCCGTGGGCGGTGACGCGCACGTGGTAGGGGAGGTCGTCCTCGGACATGGCGAGGAGGTGGTTGTTATGGTACACCAGCCCGGCGTTGGCGACCCCGATCCCCTGGGGCGCGTCGAAGAGGAGGCGCGCCACGCCCCAGTGGACGTGGAGCTCGCCGATGGCCTTGGGGAAGACGGCCTTTCCGATGGCGCGCTCCTGTCTGAGCGGCGCCGTCTCCGTGAAGCGAATCGCGCACGACTCGGCGCGGCCCCCGCGGAGGCGCACAGCGTGCAGCATGCCGTCGCCGTCGAAGAGGTGGTGCCCCGCGCGCGGCGCGTGGAGCGGGTTGGCGCCGTTGCGGACGTACACGCCGTCGAGGCATGCCGGGACGCGGCCGGAGACCGGGAGCTCACCGGTGGGCGGGCACGTAGTTGCCGGCGATCTGGACAGCAGGGTGGCCGCGCCTGGCCTGCGCCGACACGGTGTCCAGAGCCGCCAGTGGAGCTGGAGCAGAGATGGAGGACGCCATTGCCGGGAACTAATCAGTAAGGAGCTGAGAATTGTGGCCCGGCCCGGTGACCGACGGAGCCAGCTGATCGAGCGGAACAGAGGCTTGTGGCGCGCGGTGGCGTGGATGTGTATGCGCGCCGGCCTATGCGGTGCGGAGCTTGGATGGTGAGACTCGGAGAGGGGCGAGCCGGGGTTAGATGCTATGCACGTTGGGTTTAGGATAGGATATTTTTTTTGCTGATCGAGCTGGGTACCTATGTGGATTTTTTTTTTTTTTGAGAGAGGGAGAAAGAGGAGGGAGGACACGGCTAGGCTATGCACGTTGGGTTTAGGATAGGATATTGGGCTGCTAATTTGGTCCACAATAGCTTACTGCCTTGCTCTTGGTCTGCGCCTCTGCCTCATGCTCTGCTTTTGCTTCATGCTCTGCTTTTGCTTCTGCCTCATGCATGCTTGGTATGATACAGTGTTTTTCTCTCACAACAAAACAGTATCAATCGGCTTATAAGCCACAGAAACGATCAAGCGAACAGGGTGTACCGTTGTGTTTTATTTTGTGTTTAAAACCTCATAAGTGCAGCTCTAAGTTTATTATTGGAGAAGGGCATAATAATGATACTGAAATCAATTACACTCGCCGTATGTAAATCAGGCCTAAAATTGTGTTGTAACCTGGCTCATCCAGTGTGCATGTTGCATATATAGTTTCATTGACCTCCTAGATTTGGTATTAATTAAATTATTAAAGTTTGGCAAAGTTCCGTTCTCAATAGGAGTAGAGCTTATCTGCTTATGTCTAAGGTCTGCAGCTCTGTCGTTAAAGTTTCATTTTCGCCTTCTTTTCCATAAGTGCATCTACTTTCTTTTGAAACATTTGCACGATACAACATATAGCAATATATGACACGGGTACTTTCAATGTTAATATATAGTACGATTACAGCTGCATTCGTGTGTTTATTTGAACCAATAAATTAAAAGAAAAAAAATTGCACAAACTTGAGCATGCATCGGACAGCATACTCAGATACATACAAGTAAACTAAAAGAAAAACAGAATGCCAGGGATAATTAAGTAGGCAAAGATTCATGGATCTACTACGTGACAACCTGTGGCGTGCTTCCCGAGTGCCCAACAAGTGGGATGGAGGCAGCGATAAACGTGAGCACGACGAGGACCACGACGACAATGGCCAGACACTTGGCGTGGGGTCGAGTCACAGCTCCCACCGTCACCACCATGGACAGATAGAGCCCGAGAGCTATCGCACAGAAGAAGAAGAAACCAGCCGCGTTGATAGGCCCTACCATGAAGCGTCCGGCGATCGCCGTGAAGAGGCCGCCAAAACTGGCGATGCCCTGTGACAGGTCCAGCAGATGGCCCAGGTGTGGACTCTCCTCATCGTCTCCGATCATGTCCTGTGTGAAGAATGGCAACACGTGCCTATCGGCCGCGTGCTGCAGCTTTGGCTGGAGGAGGGCGACGACGATGGCCAGGAGTAGCGCGGCGAGGATGGCGAAGGCGTAGTGTTTGTTGAACGAGAGAATGAGAAGGCAGGTCGCCAGCTCTAGGAGGAGCCATGAGATGCAGACCAAGGCGTTGCCCCATTTTGACAGCAGCAGGATGAGCGCTGCATCCACGATGATAGCAACCAGGAACAGTGTGTCTTCGACGTTGAATGTTGTTGATGTAGAATAGTGATGGGTCAGGGACGCGTAGAACATGGGCATGGCGAACCAGAGCGCCTTCAGAGAATAACTGGACAACAATTTTATTTGTTGTTTGAGCTGGCCATCTGTGGTATCATCATTGCCATACACGACCTGCATTAAATTTAAAGATAATAAATTTTAGTTTTAGATATGCCGAAAGTAATAATAATGCAGTAATCTTAATACTGTAGTATGTTGTTTAAAAATAATCATGTAATATGTGTGATTTGATATTACATGAAAATCAATATGCACCGCGTCAATGCTTTTTAATCCATAGTTTCAGTTTCAGCTTAGAAACATTAGTAGTCATTGTCATAGTTAGAGCAGCTTCAAGAGACTCTCCGTATCCTCACTAATGGTTAGGAATAGAATTTTTTATATAAAAATATTCTCCAATAAATTTTTTAATTGGTTATCTAAATATAGAGATTCTCTATTCCAAATTTCTCGCTAGCACTACTGGAATCTCGCTTTTTTCTGCGTGTGCGAAAACACATAGAAAAATGCGAATACCGTCAGAAAAATATTTTTCTGACGGTGTACCCTCAGAAAAATACCCACAGAAATATAATGACAGAAAAATAAAATTTTTCTGTGAGTTCATCGTCAGAAATAATTTTTCTGTGGGTCGCACACGCACAGAAAAATTGTTTTCGCCCAGATTAAAACTAATTTTTCTGTGTGTTAATCCACACAGAAAAAAGAAATAAACACACAGAAAAACACATGTTTTTTTTTCTGTCGGTCCATGTGAACTCACAAAAAAATTTATTTTGCCCAGATTAAAAAGAATATTTCTGTGTAGCCAGTCTCACAGAAAAAAAGAGTTAAACGCACAAAAAAATTATTTTAAAACAGTAGCAACAACATATTAAAATATATATTTTCCATACAGTAATTTCTGTGCATGACAACAAGGTTTCATTCAAATAATACACAAATACAGTACTCAAAGGGACCTTGATGGGTGACCACACAACCGATCAAGTATCAAGAGTACCAAAACAAGTATCACGCCCGATGTGGCTGGGCGACAAGCAAACTTCAAATGACCGACATCAAAGTTCTAAACCATCACGAGAGGACGACTAGGACACCATGATGAGCTTCACTACTGTGGCGGCGGTAGCTGCTCCTGCTGCTGCTGCGAGGAGTACGGCGACACTCCTGCAGCGACAAAGAAGCAAGTGTTAGGACTAAGTTCTCTAGGTTAGGACTAGGTAACTCATAAAATCCAGGAAGGCGAAGAAAAACCTAAGTCAATACCGATCGAAGCTGAGCCTAATGTAGTGTATCCCTGAGAGTATGATGCTGGATAGGACGCCGGGGCTACACCTGCAAGAAAGGCGAGGTTTGAGTCAGAAAAGCGTAATAAGGAAATTTAAGGAGTGAAACGCGCAAGGGCCACAACTTGAGCAATAAATAACAAAGGAATACCTAGAGTCGCCGGCTACAGGAATAAGCGGAGGAGACACCAGTCCTGCTCATTTAGAAGAATATGATATCATTAATGAACAGGAACATGTATTAGGAGAGATTTTTTGTCTTGAAAAGAGACATATCAAGTCTACTATACCAAGCCTGGAGGACAACAATTGATGCCTGCTTACCTGTACTTGACCTCATTGACACACGAAGGTCTATTCCATATGGCATTCAACAAGTGAGGGAACTTATTGGCATCTCATGTGCCTTCAAGCAAGTGTTGTATAATACTTAAGTTGGAGAGCAAAATATTCAGAAAGGTAGCTCATGGGAAAATGGCACAACAATGAACTCAAGGCTGGAGTAGTGGAGGTGGAGCGGCTACAAAGCCAGCATATCAAGATAATTCATGGGACATGCTTAAGCAAGTTGCATCATAATAAGAGCACTTAGTTGCAGCCCAAATTAGCATATCTAATTTTTCTCAAAGACACAGTAGCCGGGGCTCAGAAACTAAAGATCTTATATGATATACTGTAGGACAAGGTTAACTGATAGTAGCCGGGGCTCAAGTTGCATACATACTTATCCCATGGACAAGGTTAACTGACAGACCCAAGTCCCCGATACCCTACTGTATTGCAACAAATTCTAAAAATAAACTGCACAGTTCAATAAGAGCCAAACCTGATCCAATCTGAACAAACATTCAAGTCCTAACTCTTAGCATCAATCGCAGCACAAAAACAGACCTTGTATCAGCACATCTACCATACACTAAGAAAAACACTAAAGTCAGCTATGATACAAATCAGAGAGCATCCTATTGAAGTCAAATGTTGAGAGAATCACACTTTGAGGTGCTACGCCAATTAGCGATTTCACAAAAATAAGCTCATATTTATCAAGTGCAAGCAGTCGGTTCTTACTACTGATTTTACAGTTGGGGTCATCAAAAGTTGAGAAATCAAGTGCCAATCTCAGACTCTGAAAAGGTTGGACCAATGTCAGGCCAATTCAAAATCAGTAAGGTATGCACTAGTAGAAGTGTACAGTCTGATCATAGTGGCTCATCAATGACTAATATAAAGCAAGAACTAATAAGTAATAACATATAAAGCAAGATACAGATTATGGTATGTATACCACAAACTTTCTATATTAGTTGACTTCAGTTTATTAATTGGACAATTATAAACACTAGGAGCATGCTTTCCTCCATTCATGTAATAAAGAAACCAAATGACTGTGGCAATCTGCCGCTAATCCCATTTGTAAGTTGTAACCTACCTCTAGCTGAGAACATCCATTGAGCAATTCATGTAGATCAAATGATGTAGTATTCAACACATTGGCCTCAGATATCAGTTGCTCCTCAGTTGACCTTGAGCTTGGAGCATAAGAAACAAACAGAGTAAGAAACAAAGTTCCAGTACCTCAACACAAGCTCAAGGTCATCAGTTCTTGGCATGCTTAATATGATATCATCATTGGCAAAGTAAGTGAGGCCTCAGCTTAACGATATGTTGGTACAATTTCCAGACACTCAATCATAGGTGGCTGCCAAGGCAAAAAAAAACAGATAGAAGAAAGCAAAGATCATGTCCCATGGTTTGATGACAGTCATGAGAATCATACAGAATGCATAAAAAATAAATTGCAGCCACCTCAGAGTTTATTTTTCTTGTTGCATCATTGGCCAAATAGATATCAAGAGTTTGAACATCACAGTCATATCAAGAGATTGAACATCAGTGTCATAAATTCTAGATGCTTCAGCACAAAGAATCCTCACTAGAATCAGAGCTATGGACTTAAGCAAGACGCGGCTGCCACAATAGGGTGCTCCTCCAGCGCCTAGGGTTAAGTAAACATCATCGACCAAGACACTTTGCTCAGTTTGTAAATCGGACTAGGCATCATCATGTGCAAAATCTAGGCGACAACACATGTGTACAACAAATAAGAGGTGCACATCACACAGATCTGAGGGCAGAACAAGACGAAAGCAAATGTAAACATGTAGATCAACAAAAATGTCGCCCAGTTCAATAAGAGCCAAAACTGACAGTTCAAAAATAAACTAGCGATTTCACAAAAATAAGCTCATACTTATCAAGTGCAAGCAGTTGGTTCTTACTACTGATTTTACAGTTGGGGTCATCAAAAGTTGAGAAATCAAGTGCCAATCTCAGACTCTGAAAAGGTTGGAATAATGTCAGGCCAATTCAAAACCAGTAAGGTATGCACTAGTAGAAGTGTACAGTCTGATCATAGTGGCTCATCAATGACTAATATAAAGCAAGAACTAATAAGTAATAACATATAAAGCAAGATACAGATCATGGTATGTATACCACAAACTTTCTATATCAGTTGACTTCAGTTTATTAATTGGACAATTATAAACACTAGGAGCATGCTTTCCTCGATTCATGTAATAAAGAAACCAAATGACTGTGGCAATCAGCCGCTAATCCCATTTGTAAGTTGTAACCTACCTCTAGCTGAGAAACATCCATTGAGCAATTCATGTAGATCAAATGATGTAGTATTCAACACATTGGCCTCGAGATATCGATTTGCTTCTCGGTTGACCTTGAGCTTGGAGCATAAGAAACAAACAGAGTAAGAAACAAAGTTCCAAAGACCTCAACACAAGCTCAAGGTCATCGCCTTCTTGGCATGCTTAATATTATATCATCATTGGCAAAGTAAGTGAGGCCTCAAATTAACGATATGTTGGTACAATTTCCACACTCAATCATAGGTGGTCGCCAAGGCAAAAAAAAAACAGATAGAAGAAAACTAAGATCATGTCCCATGGTTTGATGACAATCATGAGAATCATACTGTAATGCACAAAAACAAATTGCAGACCATCTCGAGTTTATTTTTCATGTTGCATCATTGGCCAAATAGATATCAAGAGTTTGAACATCACAAATATATCAAGAGATTGAACATCGGTGTCATAAATTCTAGATGCTTCAAAGACAAAGAACCCTCACTAGAATCGTAGCTATGGACTTAAGCAAGACGCTGTTGCCACACCATAGGGTGCCTCCTCCAGCGCCTAGGGTTAAGTAAACATCATCGACCAAGGCACTTTGCTCAGTTTTGTAAATCGGACTAGGCATCATCATGTGCAAAAATCTAGGCGACAACACATGTGTACAACAAATAAGAGGTGCACATCACACGAGATCCGAGGGCGGAACAAGACGAAAAGCAAATGTAAACATGTAGATCAACAAAAATGTCGCCCAGTTCAATAAGAGCCAAAACCGACAGCTCAAAAATAAACTAGCGATTTCACAAAAATAAGCTCATATTTATCAAGTGCAAGCAATGGTTCTTACTACACGATTTTACGATTTGAGGTCATCAAAAGTTGAGAAATCAAGTGCCAATCTCGCACTCGAAAGGTTAGAACAATGTCGTGCCAATTCAAAATCAATGGTATGCACTAGTAGAAGTGTACAATCGATCATAGTGGCTCATCAATGACTAATATAAAGCAAGAACTAATAAGTAATAACATATAAAGCAAGATACGAGATCATGGTATGTATACCACAAACTTTCTATATCAGGCTTGACTTCAGTTTATTAATTGGACAATTATAAACACTAGGAGCATCATTTCCTCGATTCATGCAATAAAGAAACCAAATGATCGTGCTAATCTGCCGCTAATCCCATTTGTAAGTTGTAACCTACCTCTAGCTGAGAACATCCATTGAGCAATTCCTCAGAGATCAAATGATGTAGTATTCAACACATTGGCCTCAGATATCGCTTTGCTCCTCGGTTGACCTTGAGCTTGGAGCATAAGAAACAAACAGAGTAAGAAACAAAGTTCCAAAGACTCAACACAAGCTCAAGGTCATCGCTTCTTGGCATGCTTAATATGATATCATCATTGGCAAAGTAAGTGAGGCCTCAAATTTAACGATATGTTGGTACAATTTCTAGATACTCAATCATAGGTGGTGCCAAGGTAAAAAAATCGAGATAGAAGAAAACTAAGATCATGTCCCATGGTTTGATGACAGTCATGAGAATCATACTGATGCACAAAAAAACAAATTGCAGCCACCTCGTAGATTATTTTTCATGTTGCATCATTGGCCAAATAGATATCAAGAGTTTGAACATCACAAATATATCAAGAGATTGAACATCGCGGTGTCATAAATTCTATATGCTTCAAAGACAAAGAACCCTCACTAGAATCGAGCTATGGACTTAAGCAAGACGTGGCTGCCACACCATATGGTGCTCCTCCAGCGCCTAGGGTTAAGTAAACATCATCGACCAAGGCACTTTGCTCAGTTTGTAAATCGGACTAGGCATCATCATGTGCAAAATCTAGGCGACAACACATGTGTACAACAAATAAGAGGTGCACATCACACGATCTCGAGGGCGGAACAAGACGAAAGCAAATGTAAACATGTAGATCAACAAAATGTCAGCCAGATCTAAGTATCTAAGAACATGAACCCTAATATCAAGGGACGACAAACTAAATCCACAAACGATTCAATGAAATCACCGCATGTAGAGGGGTAGGAGATGGGGCAGGTGAGATATCTGTGAGCACCTCGGAGGACCAACACGAATCCACCGGTGGAGGTTGACCGTATAGGTCAAGCGAGCTCGATGGGGTGGAAGAGGAGAGAGCGCACCAAACCAGAGGAGGAGGAAGGAGAGCGCGAAATGGGGCGGTAACCCTAGCCCAGCCCCAGGATTTACAAGATATCCCGCACCAAACCAGAGGGAGGGGGGCGGCATCGGCCACCGGATCTCGCCCGGTGGGGGGAGGAGAGGAGGGCCACGCCGGGAAGAAGGTAGGGAGGGGGAGAGGAGGGGAGCAGCACCGGCCCGCGGATCTCGCCGGGGTAGCGGGAGGGGGGGGCACACTGGGTACGCTGGCCGCGGCGGGATCTCGGGAAGAAGGTAGGGAGGGGGGGAGGGAGGGCGGCACCGGTCGCCGGATCTCGCCCAAGGGGAACGCCGCCACCACGGATCTCGGGAAGAAGGTACCACGCCGAGGAAGAAGGGGAGGGAGGGAAGGGGAGTGTGGGGGCTCGGGAGGGAGGGGAGTGTGCGTGCGTGAGGAGCCGAGCGGGCGAGTCCGCGCCGGGTTAGGGTTAGGACTTCTTCGTTTTTTTTTCGTGCGTGTGTACCTTTTTTCCTGTGTGTTTTAACGTAACCGACAGAATAAGTTTTATTTTTCTGTGGGTTCTGATTTTTCCTGTGTGTGTATTGTCACGCACAGAAAAATCATACAATTATTCTGTGGGTTTTCGTATTTTTCTGTCGGTGTATTTTGAAACCCACAGAAAAATCCGTAACAAAAAAACGCACAGAAAAATTCATCACCCACAGAACAATTCGAGTTTCCAGTAGTGTAGCCATGTATGTCTCAAATCGAAACCAATGGTCGGAAAATAAAAGGGAAGGGCACGCATACCGATTTGTGCAGGCGACGTGGCGGTGGCGTCGTGGAGCACGATGACGGTGCGGGAGGGGACGATGACGGTGACGGTGCTGACGCCGGGCAGCGGGCGCAGCAGCTTCTCGACGAGGGGCACCTCGGAGGGGCAGCAGATCCCAAAGACGTCAAGTAGCTCTTCTGCAGGTCCCGGCGCCGGCGGCGCGCGGCCCCCATGGCCGCCGTCCCTCCGCCTCCTCTGCTCTGCCTCTCTGTGTGTCAAGTGCGGCCAAACCTGCAGGCGGCACGAGGAGGAGAAGCCGAGTGGTGTGTGTGAGCAGATCACCCAGGCCGTTGATTTTCAACGCGTGGGGCTGGATGTACGTACCTGCCTGGGTGAGCCTCCCCAAGGTCAGGTTACAATCCAAACAGCCCCCTTAAGGCCTGGATCTAGTCTCTGTTGAGGTGAATGCTGGCGACTGTTTCAATCGTCCGAAATTTTGGAGCGAAAAAGGTAGTACAGTAACACTTTTAGATCTCTTTAGAATGCAAGATTTTTTGTTCCAGTTTTTTTTTTAAAAAAAGTCTTTGCCTCTTTTTAAAGTAAAATGAGTCCTGTGAAATTTCTAAGTGACAGCGGACGCAGCAGGAAGGTGCGAGGCAGCTTCGACGGCTGTCCACCAGGCGCGGGGCATTGAGTCGGTCAGTCATGCCTGCAGATGCAGCAGCGGCAACCTTTCTGTCCAAGAGTCAAAGTCAGGGTGTGTTTAGTTCGTGAAATGAAAATTTTTGGATGTCACATCGGATGTTTCGGGGATGTCGGAAGAGGTTTTTGGATACTAATAAAAAAAACTAATTACATAGTTCGCTTGGAAACTGCGAGACGAATTTATTAAGCCTTATTAATCCATCATTAGCGCATGTTAGTTACTGTAGCCCTTATGGCTAATCATGGACTAATTAGTCTTAAAACATTCGTCTCGCGATTTCCAACCAAACTGTGCAACTATTTTTTTTCCATCTATATTTCGTCTATATTTAATACTCCATATATGTGCCGCAAGATTTCCAACCAAACTGTGCACTTATGTGATATTACATGAAAATCAATATGCACCGCGTCAATGCTTTTTAATCCATAGTTTCAGTTTCAGCTTAGAAACATTAGTAGTCATTGTCATAGTTAAAGCAGCTTCGAGAGACTCTCTGTATCCTCACTAATGGTTAGGAATAGAATTTTTATATAAAAATATTCTCCAATAAATTTTTTAATTGGTTATCTAAATATAGAGATTTTTTATTCCAAATTTCTCACTAGCCATGTATGTCTCAAATCGAAACCAATGGTCGGAAAACAAAAGGGAAGGCCACGCATACCTAATTGTGCCAAATCGAAACCAATGGTCGGAAAACAAAAGGGAAGGCCACGCATACCGATTTGTGCCAAATCGAAACCAATGGTCGGAAAACAAAAGGAAAGGCCACGCAGACCGATTTGTGCGGGCGACGTGGCGGTGGCGTCGTGGAGCACGATGACGGTGCGGGAGGGGACGATGACGGTGACGGTGCTGACGCCAGGCAGCGGGCGCAGCAGCTTCTCGACGAGGGGCACCTCGGAGGGGCAGCAGATCCCCAGCACGTCGAAGTAGCTCTTCTGCAGGGTCCCGAGCGCGCTAACCTTCCCGCCTGACCAAATACCCATACTGCTGCAATGCTTCCAACAAACTACGAGCCTACCCTTCCGTAGGCATCCTTCTCGCTATACCACGGTGGCACTTTTGTGGTTAGGGCATCTTTCTCTCGTTCCCTTGCCTCACTACGCCCCCACTACCATATAGCCATATACCCTCGCTCGCTTCCCTGGCCGTCTTGATCTCTCCCTCCCTCTCCCTCCCTCACCCTCGCCCTTGATAAGTGAGCAAGCGGGCAAGAACCTGCAAGCAACCACAGTCGCAGCAGCAGCGGCGCGCCCCATGTCGTCGGGGGACTTCAACGACCTTGTCAGGGGCGTCATCGAGCGCGAGACCCGCTCACTGGCGGCGTCCATGACCATGGAGGAGATCTTCCGGGCCACCACCAGCTCGTCCACCAACTACCAGGCCATCTTCGAGTTCGAGAACGTGCAGCTGGAGCTCAAGCACTTCGACCGCCTCATCGTCTACGACGCCTGCGTCTACGTGAAGCCGCAGTCCGTGGACGTGTCGGGGAACGAGGACTTCTCCTATGTGGTGGCGGCGGAGGACGACGGCGAAGGTCACACGGGGAAGGTGCTGTTGACTGTTGTTCTGTTATATGAGCATTTAGCTGACAGACAGACAACATGCATGGTTCAAGTTTTTTGTCGTCGTTTTTTCTTCTTCTTTTGGGCCCAGGTCGAAGAGGAGGTGCAGAGCAGCGCTGAGGGCGGGAGCAATCAGGAGGGCCGACCAAGCAAGATGGGTCAAATCATGGGGTGGGCCTGCCAATCGCTGAAGCCGCAAATCCTTCAGGTAAGATGGGAAGGAAAATCCGTTTTGGCCCACTGGGCCCTTATGCATGTGCACACCCACGTCCATTGGGCTCTGGCTTGTGTCGAAATGGCTTGGAGATCCAGCCTTGGCCCTTGGAACAGATAAAAAATCTCCTTAAAAAAAAGAAACGGTCATGTATTTTGTATATTTACTAGCTCTGTGCCCGTGCGTTGCTACGGGTTTCAAAATCCACACTATTCTAGGTATTTCCTACAATCCTATGTATTTTTTAGCTAACACATGTAAGAAATATATTGTGTGCATCATGGTTTCGATTTGAGACACACATGGCTAGCGAGAAATTTAGAATAGAGAATCTCTATATTTAGATAATCAATTAAAAAAAAGTTATTGGACAATATTTTTCTATCAAAAATTCTATTCCTAACTATTAGTGAGGATACAGAGAGTCTCTTGGAGTTGCTCTAACCATGACAATGACTACTATTGTTTCTAAGCTGAAACTGAAACTATGGATTAAAAAGCATTGACGTGGTGCATAATGATTTTCATGTAATATCAAATCACACATATTACATGATTAGTTTTTAAACAACATACTGCATTATTAAGATTACTGCATTATTATTACTTTCGGCATATCTAAAACTAAAATTTATTATCTTTAAATTTAATGCAGGTCGTGTATGGCAATGATGATACCACAGATGGCCAGCTCAAACAGCAAATAAAATTGTTGTCTAGTTATTCTCTGAAGGCGCTCTGGTTCGCCATGCCCATGTTCTACGCGTCCTTGACCCATCACTATTCTACGTCAACAACATTCAGCGTCGAAGACACACTGTTCCTGGTTGCTATCATCGTGGATGTAGCGCTCATCCTGCTGCTGTCAAAATGGGGCAACGCTTTGTTCGCATCTCATGGCTCCTCCTAGAGTTGGGCGACCGCCTTCGATTCTCTCGTTCAACAAACACTACGCCGCCGCCATCCTCGCCACAGCTTTCTCGGCCGCCGCCGCCGCCCTCCTCCTCCGCCAAAGCTTACAAAGACATGGCCGATAGGCACGTGTTGCCATTCTTCACACAGGACATGATCGGAGACGATGAGGAGAGTCCACACTGGGCCATCTCTTTGGACTGCCGCAGGGCATCGCCAGCTTTTGGCGGCCTCTTCACGGCGATCACCGGACGCTTCATGGTAGGGCTCACAACGCGGTTGGTTTCTTCTTCTTCTTCGTGCGATAGCTCTCGGGCTCTATCTGTCCATGGTGGTGACGGTGGGAGCTGTGACTCGACCCCACGCCAAGTGTCTGGCCATTGTCGTCATGGTCCTTGTCGTGCTCACGTCTATCGCCGCCTGCATCGCACTTGTCGGGCACTCGGGAAGCAAGCCACAGGTTGTCACGTAGTAGACCATGGATCTTTGCCTACTTAATTATCCTTGGCATTCTGTTTTTTCTTTTAGTTTACTTGTATGTATCTGAGTATGGTGTCCGATGCATGCTCAAGTTTGTGCAATTTTTTTTCTTTTAATTTATTGGTTCAAATAAACACAGCGGTGTATCGTGAGAATACAAATAACATGGATTTTTTTTCTGAATTCTCCTTTCATTTCTGTCAGCCGAACTGTGAGTGCTGTAACCTAACCTTGAATAGTTATTGGACGTGATATACTATGGTTAAACCTCATGGCAATCAGAGATCAATGGTAGGGATGGAAACTTAAGGAGCAGAACATCACGAATGCAGCTGTAATATTCACCTATGTCGCGCTACGGGATTGGTAAACCCGATTCTCGTCACAAGGCTAGGCTAGCTGGGAAGGGCACCAGTGGTAGAAAAGTGTTCATCGACCATGATTACAAAGAGGTGAGTCGGACGTATTACAGTGTCTTGCAGAGTACACAACTGATGCAACCGTACATTGATGAACACTTGGCTATCATTATGGCGGAGAGAAATGACCATTCAGATGATTGGGTCATGAAACAACACAAGCAACGACTAACTACATGGTTGAAGGACCAAAATATACAGCCTGAAGAAACCATAGACTCTATTACCATCAATAGGTTGGCGGAGGGGCCATTGAGACAAGTGACATCTTGGAATGCTTATGACATCAATGGATATACGTACTATACCCACGTAAAGGATAGTAAATATGTGAACCAAAACAGCGACGTTCGAATAGAGGCTCTCGATGGATTGGGGCGAAAGATCCAATACTTTGGCATCATTGAAGAGATATGGGAACTTGACTATAGAAGAGATATAACGGTGGCCCTGTTTCGATGCCGCTGGATCAAACAACACCAACTGAACGAGATCGGATTAAGAGTCCTAGACCTCGATAATCTAGGCTACCAAGATGATCCTTGGGTGTTCGCTTCACGTGTCGCACAAGTTTTCTATATGTCTGACCCACAAAGTAACCTCCCCCCGAAAAAGAAGACAAAGCACATGGTTGCCTCCGGGAAATAGTACATTATTGGAGTTGATGGCGTGGATGATGTCGAAGTTTACAATAACTACGATGAGATGCCGCTATTCACAGACTTTCCTAAGAAAATCAGTGTTGTGGAAAAGAACCTACCCAAAGACATATTGTCATGGGAACGAAAATGTGTCAAGAGGAAAGTCGTTACAGCGGGCTAGCTAGTTGTTGAACGTGGAGTGTTTGTGTAAGTGTGTGTTTGTAAGACTTCATTTATACATGCGTGTGAGACTATATATTTATGTATGTGTGTAAGACTACATATTTTTGTATGTGTATGAGACTACATTTATGTAAGTGTGTGAGACTACCCTTTGCAACATCAAGATGAATCTATTTGAAATCACTTAACACTTTATGAAATGAAGAAATGACCAAAATAAAAGTAGGAGATCTTGACGAGTTATACAACTTTTATATTCGTCACCTTTACAGCTGAAATCATTTAGTGTTTGAAAATCAAGTTTGAGGCTGTTATTTTCTGAAATTCAAAATTTGAATTGTTCAAAATTAGTGACAAAGATAGATGACTAGACTAAAATGATAGAGCATGATTTTAGAAAATTTTAGGAAAAAAACCATCATATTTGGAGTTAGTATGAGGGAGAAAAACTAGTTACAAGTTTCAACCACAGATTAAAAAGAGAAATCACACTTATTCATCATTGATCATCATGAACAGTTGTGATTTTTCTTTTTAATCTCTGGGTAAAATTTGTAACTAGTATTTTTCCTCATACTAACTCCAAATGTGATGATTTTTCCCTAAAAATTTTTAAAATCATGCCCTATCAAGTTAGTGTGTTGATTTGGTCATTCTTTTCATTTGACAAAGTTTGAGCACTTCAAATTTTCAAATTTAAAAAAAATGATAAGTTCAAACGAGATTTTCAACCATTAAATGATTTCAGCTGAAAAAGTGATAAATATCAAAGTTGTATAACTCATCAAGATCTATAACTTTTATTTTGATTATTTCTTCATTTGACAAAGTGATAGTTAATATTGTTCACAAATCAACATATTTCTCGTATAGTTCATGAAACTATGAGTCATATGTGAATTCATGAACAATGTTTACTAATACTTTGTCACATGAAGAAGTGATCAAAATAAAAGTTGTAGATAGTGATGAGTTCAACAAATTTTATGTTCACGACTTTTATTGTTAAAATCATTTAAGGTTTTAAAATCTTGTTTGAAGTTGCTATTTATTGAAATTCAAAATTTCAATTGTTCAAATTTGGTCAAATAAAAATATGATCAAAATAAAAGTTGTACATATTGATGAGTTCTACAACTTTGATATTCATGAGTTTTTCATCTGAAATCATTTACTCTTTCAAAATATTGTTTCAAGTTGAAATTGTTTGAATTTCAAATTTTGAATCGTCCAAACAAAGTCACATGACAAGATGACCAAAATAAAAGTTGTCCATGTTGATGAGTTATACAACTTTTATGTTTACAACATTTTCATTTTATTTCATTTAATGTCATAAAATTATAGTCAAAGTTTTAAAATTCAAATTTTTATTTTTTATTTTTTTGTTTTCTATATTGTTTTAACTACAATTGTTTATATATATATTTCTGCATATATAGAATAATACAAAATATTATATTTGTGCATATATACAATTGTTTTTATATTACTTTGTGTTTTTGTGATAAAAAAAATACAGAATTAATAATTTAAAAAATAAAAAATATTTGTAGGGGCGGCTGGATCAGGAACCGCCCCTAGAAATCGTCCTGAGTATAAATACAAGGACGCACGGGTCAACCTGTAGGGCGCTCTCTTCTTCCTCCGACGTCGTCAGGCTGCCCACTTTTTCCCCGGCGCCCCGCCGTCACCGCCTCCCGGACCTGTCCCGACGCTCGTGCCCCCTCTCAGCACCCCCGGACCTCTCCCGATGTAGTGGCCTAGATCCCCGACCCCTCCCCTTCTCATCCTCCTCCCCTGCCCGCCTACCGACCACAGCGGCCGCTCTCACCGCCGCAACCCGCCCGGCCATGATTCTCGACACGCGGGTCGGCTACGGCGCCCAGCTGCAGGCTCTTCACACTGCACCGGCCTACAGGGAGGTGGAGAAGTCTCGGGCTCTTATCGATCCGTGCCTACAGCTAACCCTAACCGTGAGCCCAACGAACCCAGATGTGGTCTACTTCGACCTGCACCACCAGCTCTTCGGCATGAACGTCCCCGAGCGCAGAGTGGTGGACTACGAGGCCAACCAGCACGAGCTCGTGAACGTGCCTGAGGCGCCGCTGCCCCAGACGGGCTCCAGCCGCTACCTCCTCACTTGGAACCTGTTGCGCCCAGGCCGAGGTAAGAACTACGTTCCAGCAAACTAAATTCTACTCTACTTGCTTGTTTCTTGCAAATGATCCCTGCTGGAGAAGTTTATCTGGTAGTAGTACCTTGGTTCTGTAATTACATGCTTCGAATCTCAACAGCATTAGGTGATGAATGTTTCTGCAACATGTAGTTGTCTAGTACTGCTGCATTCCCTGATTTAGGAGGTTTAGTTTGTCCATTGAGTTGTTTCTCTGTTTCTGATCCCAATTGCCTGAACATGGATTTCATCGACCAGCACATAGCGTATTAGCTCAACACTCTGAAGTTACACATTTGTCAAAGCTAGCAATCTAGCATGCACTTCATATTAGGGGCAATCTTGCTTGTTGTCATGAGTGCTTTATCAACCATTTAACGTCCTGTCATGATTCTCTGTTTACTAGTAGTGGTGTCCATTTTTTTCTGAGAGGGTAGTGGTATACCAGTTGATGTTGGGAACAACATGATTGTAGATTGAAATCACATTTCTGTCAATACGAATAACTTGACTGTGCTGATGCTAGAAATCAAGTTTGGAGATATTGATCATGGACAAACACCTATTGTTTCTTGGATGTAGTAGTAAGCATAGTCCTACTCCTTGCAACTAAAAGCACTGCTAACTTAACCAATTCCTCTTTAACCATAAAGAGAATCGAGGCAGCAAAGACACTTTGTACAATCTTTGTACCCATTCCTTTGTAAAACCCATGCAGTCCTTTGTAGCGGACCATCTTTATTATCGCATCTATTGTACCTGGTCAAAATAGTCAACTAATGTTAACAGCAATGAAATTAGATATGTGACTAAAATAAATTGGATATCTTGTTTATTATCAAAGCACAATGCTTCAGAAAATATCAACAATTTGTTCTCAATGTATATCAACAGTTTGTTTTCTCAAAGTATATCAACAGTTTTTATTCTCAAAGTAACCATATAAACAATGATCTCAAAGAAAGTATATCAAGAGTCTTTCCTCGAACAAAACATATCAACAATTTGTTATTAGTTCCGTTGTGCAATGGATAAATATACCTGTGTATTTGGACATCACATTGCTGCCAATTTCTTGTTTTGCCTGCAACCTTGACTG